AAAAAAAAGCAAAATAGAAACTCTTAAGATCTATAAAACAGAAAGAAATTCAGCAGAAAAAAAAAAAATAATCCAGCAGAACTGAGTGCTGTGCTCTGCTAAAATAATGCACTTATTTCTGACTCTCCTTAAGTCTGTGACAACGTCTCTGCATTCCTCCTCCACCTCACATCAGCATTTCCTAAACTTGACTGAACATTTTAAACAGGAAACTTTTAACTATCTGCTCTTTGGCTCTTAGATTATATTTCAGATATTTTATTAAATTATCAACACAAAACTAACCCCAAATCTGCAACTGCTAATTTTAGTTTCCCTACAATCACCATGGCCTCGAGAGAAGATTCCATAGAATGGCCTAGGTTGAAAAGAACCACGGTGATCATTGAATTTCTACCTCCCTGCTATGTGCAGGGTCACCAACCACCAAACCAGGCTGCCCAGAGCCACATCCAGCCTGGCCTTGAATGCCTCCAGGGATGGTGCATCCATAACCTCCTTGGGCAACCTGTTCCAGTGCATCACCACCGTCTGAGTGAAGAATTTCCTTCTAATATCTAACCTTCCCCTGTCTCAGTTTAAAACCATTCCCCCTTGTCCTATCACTATCCACTCTTGTAAACAGCCATTTCCCCTCCCATTTATACACTCCCTTCAAGTATTGGAAGGCCACAATGAGGCCCCCACAGGAGCTTTCTCTTCTCCAAGCTAAACAAGCCCAGTTCCCTCAATGTTTCCCTCATAGGAGAGGTGCTCCAGTCCTCTGATCATCTTAGTGGCCTTCCTCTGGACCTGTTCCAAGAGTTCCACACCTTTCTTGTGCTGGAGACCCCAGGTCTGGACACAGTACTCCAGATGGGGCCTCACAAGAGCCGCGTAGAGAGGGACAATCACCTCCCTCTTCCTGCTGGCTACTCCTCTTTTAATGCAGCCCAGAAACACAGTTGGCCTTCCTGGCTGCAAGCGCACACTGCGGGCTCATGTTCTGCTTCTTGTCCACCAGGAACCCCAAGTCCTTCTCTGCAGGGCGGGCTGCTCTCAAGAGGTTCTTCTTCTAGTCTGTATTAACACCTGGGATTGCCCTGGGCCAAGTGCAACACCTTTGCACTTGGCCTTGTTGAATCTCATCAGGTTTTCATAGGCCCACTTCTCCAGACTGTCCAGGTCCCTCCGGAAGGCTTAGCTACCTGAAAAGAATCTTGCACACAAAGGTATCATTTGGTACAGGAGGATGACTGTTACATATCCAAGATCAAGCACAATCCAACTGAAGCACTGGAGCACTGCCATAAGGTGCACAGAAAGGCTGGGAGTCTCCTTCTTTGGAGGTGTTCAAAGACACATTTGGATGCTTTCCTGCCATAGGGAACTTGCTTTAGCAGGGGGTTGGGCTAGATGGTTACAAGAGGTCCCTTCCAACCCCTGCGACTCTGTGAAGCTGCACTCACTTTTCCACAAGCTGGTAATTGATCTACAAACACATCGAGCACTAAGACACAGCACAACCCTCTGAGTAAGAGAATATATACTTATTGCTGCAGAGCGAGGCCGAAGCTCACACAGGTCAGAGAGGGACAGTGCCTGCAGCACAACTTGTCATTTCACTGACATCACTTATTTATTTATTTACAATCAGCAGAACTTGGGCTCCACCAATAATTGTCTCATTGCTTGTTTGCAGGCTTGAAGCTGTAGCTTTTTTATGACAAAACTAAAATGATAAAACCCAGATGTGCCTTACTTTCCCCTTGTCCTGCTCTCTTGCAGCCCATGGGATCGGAGCGGACGGAGATGCGCAAGCGGCAGATGGCAGCAACCCAGGAGACCCCAGGCACGGTGCAGACTCAGCACAGCGTAGGGAACCGCGGACCCAATGCCTGCTGCTTCTGCTGGTGCTGCTGCTGCAGCTGCTCCTGGTATGGCCCTTACCCAGCACAAAAGGGGAGGGAGGTAACAGCCAGCACGTGGTACAGCAGGAAGCAAATAAACCACCTGGGGCATTCAGCAAGGCTGCAACTAGGAGACACTGCTTTCTGCTGCAGTGCATTTTTTTTGCCACTGAAATAACATTATATACATATTTAATCTCTGTACAGTACCTTCAGAAGATAAGTAGGAAAGCATTTTAAGAGATGCTTTAGTCCTTGCCTTAGCCTCTCTCTAAGCTTTGCAGGTACACACACACACACACGTGATCACCTTTTTAATGAAGCCCCAGCAACACATTCCACATTCCGGAAACAGAACAAAAAAGAAAAAGGCAGTAAGATCATTAACTCTTATATACCTCCTTTTAGAAATCCTTATCATTCTCTCTCTGCTTACTCTTGTTAGTGAGCATCTAAGTCTGATTCAATTTCTATAGCCATTTACCCTTAGACAAAAGGCTGTAGTACCAGGTCGCCCTCAGCTCAGGGAAACCCTTGCTTTCTGTTGTCTAAATTAGTACTTGGGATCAGAGCTTAGAAATCCCAACAGCTGAAGAAGTAGGTCCAAGCCTCACCCATCCCTAAAGAACTGCAGGTGTGATTCAAGTGAAATGTTTTGTCTAGCTCCTCCTCCCCACCCCTTTCACTTCCTTTTTCTTTTATTTTTCTTCCCTGGTAGCCTTTGTTAGCTGCAACCTAAGAACTGGTTGTTCTTGGCCTTTTCCTTGAACTGGTGTATCACCTATGAAATGAACACTTAATGTATATCATGTATTAATACTGATTCTCCTCAACTTTGAGCTTCATTGGGATTCCCAGTAAAAAGCGAAAGCAATACCATAATGTGTAACAATTCTAGATGGAGGATCTCACCTTAGAAGGAGCACAGATTGCTACAGGGAATTAAGAGTACGTGTAAGGATGTGTAGGTCAGAAAGATAATAGCCAAGTGTCTGGCACTGCTCCTTTGTTGCAAAGGCAAGCAAATTTGTTGTCATTAATTAGCGGTGTCAACTCACAGCACCTGCAATTCATATGAAGCTAACTCTTGGGATCAGAGACTTCAAATACTGAAGTGTTCAGTGCTCACCTTCAGTAAATAATGGAGCAGAACATATTTTCAAAGAACTCCTATTACAAGCTGTTGAAGAGGAAAATTTATCAGAGAACGAATCAAGACAAGAAGGGGAGTCACTGGATTCCTTAAAAGAAAAAAAAAAATTGTCCACCTTCACTCTCATATCAGATGCAGCTTATTTCATTTAAAATTCAAGCAAAGCTTGCCATATTCTCAAGTCCTGTTCCTGTTTGGGGTGCATTACTAATTTAATGGGTTAGACCAGAATTTGCACCGAAATAAAGAAAAAATGTCTAAGTCATAAGAATTAAACCAAAAACTGACAGCATGCTGAGTGCTTCTTGTAAATACACTATCGACCATATGAACGCTTCAGAGTAAGCAAACCTGGGATTGATGTGGAAGAAAGAAGTCATAAAACTACCTGATTGATCAGACAAGGAATCTGTTCCACCATTACTTCTTCCCAACAGCAGCTGGTGGCAAATGCTTTGGAGAACATAAGTTAGGGAACAGTAGGCTCATTTGCTATTAGTATGCAGCTTGTCAGAGCCTATAGACACCCAATCCAGTCCACCCTGATGGAAACAGAAAACATTTGGTAAGGACAAAAGGCTTCTTTTTTTGCAGGATGCCAAGGACTCTGGCTCTATCCTACAAAGCCTTGCAGCAGGTGCTTAGAGGTAAACTATGGTAATGTTGAGACAGAAATACTGTGCTGGTCAGGATCAGAGTTTGCTTCTTTGCAGAATGATGCCTATACTCAACCATCACCATACAAACATCAGAGTCATCTGAGCAGTTGTCCAGTACAATTTCACGTGGATCATTTGGGACCTGCATTATTGCACTTATAAATATATTTGTACATAAGGAAAGAAACCCCAGACATTTATCTATGAAGTCAGTACATAAAACTTGCATTTCACCTTTCAAATTATTGATAAACTTTTTTTTTTTTTTTTTTTTAAACTTTTTACCTAATATTCCTGGGGATGCTGATTATCTGTGCACTTCACTATTCAAACAATTCAAAGAAAGCAATTTACTCAATAGATGGAATTATATTACCCAAATTTCACAATGTTGAAAATTCTTACTTTAGAATAAAATAAGAATCCAACACAGGCTCCAAAACAGAGTTGCTCATTTTAGCTTTAAAATAATCCCTGATTTCTTTGAGAACAATTGTTTTCTAGTAGCAAGAAATTCAAAACAAACCATAATTAAGCTATTTTTGTTCCCTGTTCATAAAGCCTTTCCTCTAAATAGCTCAAATACTTTGAACAGAAAAATTATGAATAGGAATAAAAATAACAGTCTGCATGAGTCATGCAGCTGATCTGCAGAACAGCCAATACCCAGCATACGCTTAATAGTAGATTTAGAATGAAATGGTGAAACGAGTCTCTCAGCCAGATTCCCACAGCCCATGTTCACTCTGCAGCTAAATCTGAAGCCTCCAGCACATTACTCTTTGGAAACCTGAGAATATGCATTTTGAATCTTAGCTCTGTTTACCCATACATTTCTAGGAAATGAGCTAACCTGCAAGGGCATCTTGTGAGGCACGGCATGACCTCTGAAGGAAACTTATTTCTTTTGAGCTTGTCTTCTTCCCCCTTCGGTTGGATATGTTTGTTCCCCTCAATCTTAAAACAACTCTGACAAGGACATCAGTTCTTGTGTGAGGAACACATACCACCTCTCTTAGTAAAAAAAGGCTAGAACCGCTCGTAAAAAGCATACTTAATGTAGACACAAAAATAATATACAAAAGCATGAATAGGCTTTAACTACTCGTTTTCTAAAAACACAAACTCCAGTGGTTCACTGGTTTGAATGTATGGTTCAGATGTTGCAGAGAAAAGATGCGTTTGCAATAGGTGATGTGCTTGCTCACAAATCTCACAACAGGAAAGCTTCCCTATCTTTTCAGTGCATGGCAAAGAGAAAAGCTTTTCTCTCCTCTATTGCCAAACCTCCAGCTACTCTTCCCAAGCCTTAAAATATTACCATTCTCCATCCTCCCACCAGGTCCCTGCAGATGATGGACCACCCGTGGAGACAGCAAGAGAAGGAATAAGTGGTAAATAGTTAGGCTGCTAATTAGACAAAGACAAGAGCTTAAAAGGAAAAAGAAAAAAAANNAAAAAAAAAAAAAGAATTGGTTTAACAAAAAGCCTTGCTAGAGACAAATGAGATTCTTAGAGATTGAAGCAAAATGTTAGATCAAGGAAAAGAAAGATACAGATGAAGAAATAGTTTGGTATTTTCCCAGAAGTTGTAACAACTGTACCACTTTATCTCAGCTGAAGTATAGATTTAATACAAATTACCGGTTGTAAGTCACTGGAATGTTTTCTTCTTCACAAACTCTTAACAGCTTTACAGATCACAAGAGTTTGTGTGCACACATGCATTTCTCACTGCAATGTAATAATCTCAGAATTCAGTCCTGTTTGCTAAAAGGAGACATGCTGAAAGTCAGCATCAAAAGAATCATCAGCAAAGAAAAGCGAACACTCAAGTTTAAGTGACATAAAATAACTGCATCAAGGGTAACTTATGTAAAAACAACAATGCAGTATAATAAACCTCAGTGGAGTACATACAGACTTTGTTGCAGATATAGGTTACTTTCTATCAAGGACACACCTGATATTGTATAGTTCTGCCGCATGAAAGTTTGCTAAGCTTACACAACTGAAGAGCTAGCATCAGAGTGTAACTATGGCTCCTGTTTGCATTTTTTCATTCAACCTTTCATTTCACAAAATTGGCAAAACTTTTGCTTGCTACCTTGCAGTCTTACTGTTAGAAACCAGGAAGAAGAGAGAGCAAGGAGAACATCCCATGAACTCCAAGCAGAGGGTATTCCGAACTGTGAGGAAAGGTATGGTTTTTATCATGTGCTCTATCAAACATGAAACAAAAATTCAAATCTTACTAAATAATGAAAATCAATTATCTGACATATGCAAATAAATGACAAATGGATAATAATAAAGCTGAATTTGCAAGTCATCCATCTCTTGCTCCTCAAAGAACCAAGAGTCTGATGTATAGCCTTTCATCCCATTTACATGCAGTGTGGAATCACGTTCAATTTTCAACGCTTTTTGATATAATAAACAAAAACAAAAAAACCCACACATAGTAAATCTCAGAATCATAAAATCATAGAATGGTTTGGGTTGGAAGGAACCTCAAGATCATGAAGTTCCAACCCCCCCCCTCCCCCCCCCTGCTGTAGATAGGACCAAACTCCATGTCTCATACTAGACTAGGCTGCCCAGAGCCCCATCCAACCTGGCCTTGAACACCTCCAGGCACAGGGCATCCACAGCCTCTCTGGGTAGCCTGACTGTTAACACAGTCTGTCCTTTATCTGAAAAAAAAATAATATTTTTCCCACTCAGTTAATTCATAACTGGAGCTAACTGGCAGAGCTCAGCCTTAGAAAAGGAATAAATACAAAGGAGAGCTCAAATACTCTTAAGAATCAGGCATTTGTCTCTTAAGAGTTGCCCAAGCAGGTAGAAGGACCTGTGAAACTGCAGTAGACTGAAGGGTGTCTGTTGTGGTATTTGGATTGTTGCTTCTTTTTACATATTTTCATTCACTCTGTAACACAGTGATTCAATAAGGATTATTACTAATAATAAAAAGCTTAGTTGTTGCCGAGGGTTTTTTTTTTTTTTTTTACTGCAATTACTCTGAGAACTTAAGTGTGATTTCTGCATCAGTGTACATGCAATCAACTTATCAAAAATGCATCTGTTTACTGCAGTTTGCACTTGGGTAGTTCCAGTGAGGAGTAAAGAGGTTCATGAAATGGCATCTGTTCCATCATGATGGCAGACACCTTCTACCAGATGAAAATAGTTTAAGTAACAACTGTTTGTTTCTCTCTTGTCCTCTCATCCTACCTCCACAGCCCCGCTCCTACTCTTGAAGAAGTGAATGCTTGGGCTCAGTCATTTGACAAGTTGATGCTTACACCAGCTGGTCGAAATGCTTTTCGTGAATTTTTACGAACAGAATTCAGTGAAGAAAACATGCTTTTCTGGATGGCCTGCGAGGAACTGAAACAGGAATCCAACAAAAGCGTCATCGAAGAAAAAGCAAGACTGATTTATGAAGATTATATTTCTATCCTTTCTCCAAAGGAGGTATATTGCTTTCCCCATTCTTTGATGCTGTTCTGCACGGTTGATGTGTTTTAAGCTAGAAGAATACCTGGGGATAACTCTCTTTCCCCCACATTCCACTGTTAAGAAGTAGAGATATTTAGGGGTAAAAGACAAACCCAGCACTGAGGTGAGATGGTTAGAACTACTTTCACCGTCTGTAAGAAAATTCTTCCTATACTGCTTTGGCACACTGATGTGAAGGCTTAAGTTTGAGGCATGATTTAACACAGTATCAGAATATCCCATAAAGATCATGGAGTTCAACACAGAGATGAAGATTTTATTCTTGCTCAACTTAAAGTTTTTTTGCTGGATGAATCAGTGGGGTTTTCTTTCGCAGTGCACATAGATCAGGTCTCCAAAAGCACAGTAACCACAAATAAAGTGTTATTTGCACAGCACAAATTGCTTTTGTGCAAAAAGCAGCTGTAAAATATGGCACACAACAAAAACGCTAACTTAAAAATTTTTCAAACCTACCTGCCACTTTGCTGGTAAAAAATGCTCCAAGTTTCAAACAGGTCTTGGTTCATTATTTGAGTATAATTCTAGAAGAAGGCAGGAATTTTAAACTTTCTTATATTCTTGCAAAATTTGTACACTTCATTACTTGTGGTGCCAACTGCATGCAGATAAAAAGGCTGTTTAAATCTAATCAGTCCATTCTAGTAATGCTAACACCTTTCCACAGACTGGTGCTTGCAGGAAAACAAAACAAAACATCACTTGAATGCATGTGGAATCGTTCTATAACTATACCTGTGGTCCACATCAAGTCATCCTGCTTTTTAAGATAGGGATTTGATTGAGCACCATCTTTCCAGGTTGCAGTTCCCATCTGCGTCATCCTGCTTACTCCAAAGTCAGTCTCTTTACTACAGCACTACTTCCCAAGGAAACCAGCTGTCATAGAACATTACAAATTCTCTCTGCTACAGAGCAGGAAGTCAGTCTGGAAATAATCTTCCAGTCCTTCAGGTTTTAGTAGCAACAGGGTTGCAGGCAGCCTTGTTCAAGTAACACTGCTTCTATGAGAAACTTTCTCTGACGATATCCAATACATTTTTATTGCCAAATTTCAGTCATTCTTGGTGTAAATATACACATATTTAACAGTCCTTATATTCTTAAAGGACACCAACTGAAACAATTAAAAATATATATATTTTTAAGCCAACAGAACAAAAAGCAAAGAAACTGGCTACTGTACACCACTCTTACTTACGTGATTCTTTATTCTAACATGCAGGTCAGCTTGGACTCCAGAGTAAGGGAAGTGATTAACCGAAATATGCTGGAACCCTCACAACACACCTTCGATGATGCACAGCTTCAAATCTATACCTTAATGCACAGAGACTCCTACCCACGGTTCATGAACTCTGCTATTTATAAGGACTTGCTTCGGTCCTTATCTGAAAAACCCATCGAAGCATAGGATTCCTTTTTTCTTACATGTATTTATTTTAAAACAAATGGGACTCTGGGCTACCCCGATCAATAGGGGATTTAGTATTCATTTACCTGAAAACAACTCAGGCAAGTTTTACTACAGACTGAATGCTTGGAACCCGCACAAGGCTCTGATACGATCAGCTAAATACAGTTTCTGATCAAATGAAGTATTACTTTGCAAAAGAGAATGAAGAACAAACATTTATGTTCAAAAAAAAAGCAGTATTTTTACATTGCAGCATACAACTTGGACACAAGTCTCTTATAATGTATATCTGAAGTACTGAGCATGAAAACTAATTTTAAGTGGACTGTCACAGTTTTCTTGAAAGTCAAACCAGTTGCTCCATCCACACTATGACCAAAGTAAAAACAGTTGTACCATCACTCGCTGGGTTACATGAGACCAAGTTTCACCTCCTGTATGAATTGTGCTTGGAGCAGGTAAAACCCCACTTGTCTTATCTGATGTGCATACAGTGTGATAATGGAAAACAGTATGATCTCAAGTTTCTGAAAACTAATTGTTGAAATAATTAATGCTGCCTATAAAAACCTTTTGCTGAAAAATTGTTATTTTACTACTGGAGTCCACTGAGAGCATTTTTAAGTTCATACTGTTCATGTTTATAATGTTAAATTATTTACTGAGTAGGAAGAAGAGTCTGGGGATTGAAATTCTCAAATAAAGCACAATTCTCACATATTTTTACCTTCCCTCTGTAGGTAGGTTAAAAAGCATTTCATTGTTTGCTCCTGAAGGAGTGGCACTATCAGCCATCTTGGTTTTGTACACACTAATTTGACTTGTTCACTGACAAAGCTTGTAAGGCTTAGGTAACGAATACTCATACCTTACACTGACAAAAGATGGAAGCCTGAACTCTCTCATTCCATAGCACTTTTTCAGACTGTTCAAAAGAAAAGCAACAGCTTTATCAGCTAATAAACTTACGTTCATTACACTTCAGCCACAGCATTACGCTACCCCTAATTCTAGCACCATGACAAGCATGAAAAGAGCACTTTCAGGAAAAAAAGAAATGGGAATAGCAAAGCAGAATTCAGGATATTAATTTGTCTGCTCAGTGCAGTAGGTAGGAGACGTGATCTTCCGTAACCATATTCACATTATCAAACAAACAAGGAGCTTTTTCACTGCAGGAAAAGACCTAATACAAGGTAAGTTTACAATAGCTGTGGACTAGTTTCTACAATCTCCTTCCAAAACTGAAACATGATTCAACACAACAACTTAAAAACAATTCAACCACCTTGAAAGACTGGAAAGCAAAGTTCTTTTTTCCTTCAGTACAAAACTGGATGACCCGGAGCACCAAGTCAAGAGGAATCCCTTCTACTTCTACTTCAGACAGGCCACTGCTTTTTATTAACCTACGCAGGTTCTCTCAACTGACTTTGGCATATCCCAAAGCACTACCTGTACAGTCTTGGTTATATAAAGTATAACATGATAGGCAACAAAGGAACAAACTGGACCCATTGGTAAGGCAGCATTCAGGGGAGCTTGCAGTCAAACTGAGAATGCCATTGGTGTTGTTTTAATCAGACTGGGTAATGCTGCTCTAAAACTCTAAGCTGACAAAGTTAGTTTAACTAGGTCAGATTCTGCTTGCTGGAAAGATCAGACACACACATCAGAAAAAGTTCAAAGTGTGTCATTTCATTTCACTGAAATGGACTGTTTCATTTCTTTTAAGTTATCTCCCTTCCCTGCAAAGATACCTCATTAAAAGCTGGAAGACAGCTGGAATGCTCATACTTTATAGTAGACAATGCATTCTATCATCCTGTGGGGGAAAAAAAAAAAAAAGATACACTGAAATTAAAGGGGAGACAAAACGATACTGGATTGGGCAGTTCTATGGCTAACATGAGAGTACTAAAAGAAAAAGTAGCTATTTCTAAACTTATTTCCCATTTTCCATAACCAAATAATTAAAATACTCAAGGTAATTTTCATTTTATTTCTGCATTACAGCGTGCTGATATTTGCAATGCTCATCTTTCTTGGAAAACCTTAAACTTCAATGCTGAGTTTTAGACTTAAGCTCACATTCAGTACTGGTCCGTAGGTACCCTGAGAGTATCTCATACGAAATAAATCACTTCTCCCTTAAACAACGTTATTTTGAGGCTGTTCAATGCTGGATTTAATTGAAGGAAAAAGAAAAAAAAAAACTCACACAGAAGGCAAGTTTTTAACTACACTTCATTATGATGTACTTGCTAATTGTGCACAAATCTTTTCCATGGCAAATGTGAATTGTAAGTTACTATAAGCAAGATGTTATAGAAATACGAAAACAATGATATTGACACAAGATATTATTTATAATTCATAAAGTAAAAAATTACTACAAAGTCTAGCTTGAAAATAAGCATGGGTGGTTTGCCTTGGCCTTTATTTAGCCACAGGATATCATTAAGCTATAACAAGTATCCAGCCCACTGGTATTTTCTTCAATGTCTGTACTTTAGAAACCAATAACTCTCACAGAACATGCATATTGTTAAAGACTGCTTTTTGCCAAGAGCCTGCAAAGTAGTATTAAAATTGCATGGCCTCCTTCAGCCAACACATTGTGCTTCATACTGACCTTTAAAAATAATTAGCGCAGTACAAATGGAGGGTAAAAAAAAAACCACATCTAAACATACACAGGCTGAAAGGTTCTACTATATCAATTAAAATTGATCAGAGAAACATTAAGCATGCCTCCTGATTAATAACAGCTGAAACAAAATGTGATCAGAGTCCACCTCAATGTAATTTAAAGCATGCAATCACAAGGGGAATCCAGAACTCCAAATTAAAAAAAAAAAAAGTCAGTTCTCAACAATATCTGGGAAATGCCATGTGACTTCAAAATGGATTCACAAAAGCTTAGGTCATGAGCAGCTGTTTACCTTCTGTTTAGTGCAAGTCAAAAAAAAAGACAGTCAGGACAACATCATTTAAAAATCAAATATTCTCCTGTGAAAGTTAAGAGAATTATGTATGAGGAAATGGCTTTGAGCTAAAGATCCAGAAGCCTTCAGTATCTTCTGAGCAGCACTGTCACTCAAGAAACATGACATTTAATCCCACTCCAACTCTATGAGGAATATGGCCTCCTCTTCTTTGCTAATGGACTAAAGTAAAAACTTCAGCTTATGCTATAGGACTACTATGTTCCAGACTCCTCTTTGTTAAAAAAATGTGCGTGAAAAGCTCACTGCTGAGCACTTCTATTTTTGGATTTGGATAACCAAAATGAAGCATAACTAGAATTGAAGCACCTATGGCTTTTTTTAAGTACATTTCTTGGACTTCACTCTTCCGCTGTGACAGCTCTTTATTCTGAAGTCAGAGGAGTGAAAAGCTGAGGCTGCTACCACAGCCACAAATCTGGAGCAGGACCAAAGAAGGGCAACAGGGCTTGTGAAGGGCTTGGAGAATATGCCCTATGAGGAGAGGCTAAAGGAACTGGGGCTGTTCAGTCTGGGAAAAAGGAGGCAAGGGGAGACCTTATTGCTCTCTTCCAATACCTGAAAGGTGATTGCAGTGAGAGCGGGTTGGTCTCTTCTCACTGGTGACAGGATGAGAGGAAATAGCCTCAAGTTGCACCAGGGTAAGTTTAGGTTGGATATCAGGAAAAAAACACCACAGAAAGGGTGGTTAAGCATTGGAATAGGCTCCCCAGGGAGGTGGTTGAGTCACCATCCCTGGATGTGTTTAAAAACCATTTGGATGTGGTGCTCAGGGACATGATTTAGAGGAGGGCTGTTAGGGTAGTATGATCAGGTCACGGTTGGACTCAATGATCTTTAAAGTCTTTTCCAACCTGAGCAATTCTACAACAGAAAGCACTACCACAGATCTAGCTCTTTTAATGATCTTCTTATATGTGACAGTCAGGCAGAAAGATTAAAGAACAAATAGCATTAGGAAGGTTGCATAAACCAACACTGCCTGTCCTGTATGTTTTTTGAACAGCAATGGAAATCTAGGTCTACTCGCCATTCAACTTGCAATCATTTTTAACATAATTTTTTTTTTTGTCTCATTCCTCGGGAAATGCACTAAAACACAGCACCCTCCTCGAAAGCAAACATCTATAATTAGTTTGTTGCTGCCTAAAGCAAATTAAATGAAAAATCTATTATGAACCTGTAAATAATTTCTAAGAAGCAATTCTGCCAAAGCACTCACACAGGTAAAAAATATATCAAATATATCTATTCTTCTAATAGAAAAAGGAATGCTTTCTGAATTACAGCCATACTATCAAGTAAGTTGAATTTAACATGTTTTTATGCAAAGTTATGTAAGAAACCTTGAAACGCTGAGCTATTTTGTGCCTAAGAAGTGTTTAGATACGTAACTCAGCTTCTTTGATTTAAGCATTTTTCCTTCCACCACAAAAGCCACTTTTTTTTCTACGTATAATAATAAAATAATGATAAAACACATTATGGAAATAGGATGCTTATTTCAGACTTAAAAATACAGCAGACGATTCACATAGTTAAGGAAAAAAACAAACAAATTATCAAAATACTTCATTGGTAAAAGTTTAATTTCAACTTACTTACAAAAATGAAAAAATATTTTAACATTCACCATACAATCGAGCAACCTGGCCCTACTGACTATCAGCTATAGGAAGGCATTTAAGGAAATGATGGCTGTGTCAAAATGAAGGCTAACTTCAGGTATGTATGCTGCATAAAAAAAAGAAAAAGGAAAAAAGAAAACCAAATAACCTCTTGTTTGCAGGAAGCTAGCTGCTTAGCCTAGTTTTTAAAGCTAATTACAAAATCCTCTTTCATACTGGTCCAGATGTCTTGACAATTTCTTCCTCTAACAGAACTGTGAAAAGAAAAGAAATTTTATGAGGTCTCCATAAAACTTAATTCCAAACCTTTGCCAAAAGAAACAGCAATATGACACCATACTTTGGATATGGAAATTAGTATTCAAAACATTTGCTTGTATCATACAAGTATGCTGTCACTCAAGCATTTTTATACAGAGACTTTTATAACTACTACCTCACTAGGGGATTTAAGGACAAATGAACTTTTTCTTTGTGCTGTATCAAACTTCTAAGCTTTATAAATTATTTAGATATCTTGGAGCACAGATCTGTATTCAGTAACAGGAAACAAAGCAAGACACATGAAAGAACTCCTAATGCAGTAATCCTAATATATGCTTTGCAGCATTATTCATAGAAAAAAACCTAACAAAATGAAGATAGCATGCAATATTAAACTTAATATTATATCTTAAATTGTAGATTATGCAGGCCTTTATTTGAGTGTTTCTCTACTTCATTACCATCATTCCTGAGACAACTTCTGTTGTTGTTTTAACATTTTATAACTCCCATTTCTTGAAGTTTGTTGTGTTTTTTTTTTTGTTTTGTTTTGTTTTTTTTTTTAAGAAATGAAAGCAAATTATCACTGTATTACACTTAACCCAACACAGGAATATGGCAGCAGTCACTTCTTTTTTATATTCCGCTTTTTTTTAGAGTAGAAAATAAAAGGGAAAAGAAGCCCAACAAAATGCCTAAAGGAACCTATTCTACCCATCAAATCAGAAATTAAAAATGGTTAGAAAATCTTTGGGAGAAGACTGGGAAAATCCGGTGGCTACCTTGCCACCGCTTTTTATGGCAAAGCATAGTATTGTACCTAGATGTCACAAGGCCTAAATCAACATCCTGACTTTTACCCTCAGCCAGAACTTGTGCATTCTCAACACCTTTGGCCACAGATAGCTTCATATTAGAAAACTATTTCAGAACATCAACATACAGTATCATTTCTGGGTTAAGAAATAACCACAAGTCAACAGAAACTGAACTGTCATTTATGGTAAAACATGAAATTAAGCACAGAGCCTGATTGTCTGCTGTCAGGTATACAGAACGGTCTATTAGCCTTACCTTCCATCTGTTTCCACATTCATTACAAACAACAAACGTTGTCATAGGTTCATCAGCACTGCGGGTTTGAACCTTTGACAAAGGCAAGAGCCAGAGCAGAAAAGGAAAATTAGTATTTCAACTTTTGTTAGCATGTGTTCAATGTGAAGGTTTAAAATCAAAGTTTAATGTTAAGTAACTACATTTGGATAAGAATATAAGTTAACTTTGCATTCCAGTTGAAACCACTTCATTTTGTTTGGACTATATAGTGATCATAAGCTTATGTTTTGACAATTTTAGAAGCAGTAAAATACCAATTTCAGTATAGGAACTGTTCATATATTTCTAGGAAAAAAATCTGCGGTGAAGCTACACTTTAAAGTTACAGCATAGGATACAGACAAAAGACTTAAAGTCTCATGACTGAAACACAGCTTTCTGTTTGAAGTACCTAACACACAACATTAAACTATAAACACAGCTGATCCTGTGATCAATACTACACGCCATGCAGCACCACTACAGTTCTTGCATGTATATTATAATAAGAAAAAATTCTAAGTCAGAGTCTAGCATCAGTCAAATGGTAGATGATAATATATACATATTCACTACCTCCATTAAAAAAAGGTTTACACATCACAAACAGTGAATTAGTTCTCTTCCATATAAAACTGTATTATTAAAATTAAACCAGAAGAATTAGCAAAAACTCAGCATCACAAACTAGCATTTCAGGCTACATACATACTATGCTTGAATTTAGATAAAATATTTGGTAAATTAATACAATTAATACAACAAACATTCTTTACATAAGCACACCTACGTAGACCCAACTGTCTCCATGTTTTGTTAGCATTTTGTAACATGTCATTTTGTAATAAACCCTTTTTTCTCTGACCACGTTTATACAGGGCTTCAGCTTTGAGAAAGGAAAATGAACGTCCCAAATAACCACATACCTGGGTATATGTACAGTTCTTCTTTTTGCACTTGCCACATGTAAACAGATCGGTTTGGGTACCTCCTGTTTTGGCCATCTGGTGCTCTCTGATAGCCTCTTTGGTCAGATTTTTGCGCATTTCTTTCAACTCATCACTTGCCATTTCCTGTCACAGAAAAAACTGCAGAGTTTAGTAGGAAGTTCTTGTTATAAAGAAAATGAAGCGTGAACCATAGCTTCAATGTGCAGGATCTCAAAAATACATAGTAAGCATTATGTGCACAGTAAAAAAAAAAAAGTTGTTCCTTTTTTTTCAATAGCATTTTACTCTGCATTCTGCCTTGACATGGAATGCAAAATTTTCTATTAATGCATTTCCCTCAAGATATCATCTTCAAGATATAATTATATAATAAGGTTTTATAGCCATTAAATTAGAGAACTTAGTCCAATATACTAATTAAAAAAAATAAGGAGCACTGGACAACATGAAACGTGTTTCTGCATTTGTACTTAAAAACACATAGGATAAAAACACTTTAAAAATACACTTCAGATACCTACTTTTCTTTCCCCATTCCTTTGCCAGTCTCAATTTTTTCCTGGCCTCTATATAAACTGCAAAAAAAGCCATTCGTTGATACCAAAGCTAGTCATGATTTTTGTTACTCCTAGATACAACTTTATACCTATCTAGGGCCGGATATAGGGGAGGGTGAGAAGTAGCAGAACCTAACACACATCAGCAGAACTACAAAACCGAAATCAAATGTTTTCCATGCTTTTATTTTTCTCTCCTATAACATTTTATTTTTCACTTCTGACTTTCTTTATAAATCAAAACAAATCTAGACAGTGAGCATCTATTTGAATGGGAGCTTCTGTTAAAGTGCTCAAAATGTTCTTTCAATAACAAATTGAATTTGATTCAAAGGCCAATTCTCCTAGCTTCCTTCCCATATAATTTATGTCTTCTATTTACTGTAAAGCATTTCCTTCAAAATCATTTGACATAATCTGTCAAATTTCAGATAAGCTTTAAATCAACACTAAAAATGCCAACAGGACACGCACCTCAAAAGCACAGTGCTACACCTTTCATAGGAGGATAACAGCAGAGGCTAGTATTTGAAAAGCAAATAGCAAGACAGGCTAATGTGGGTGGTAGTATTACATATCCAGAAGGGTGAATGGCTTAGCAGCTTGAAGTCTACCTGAGCATAAACCATCACTAACAGACCATAGAATCATAGAATCCTTAGGGTTGGAAGGGACCTCTAAATGCCAACTAGTCCAACTCCCCTGCAACAAACAGGGACACTACAGTTAGAGTAGGTTGCATAGAGCCTTATCCAGTCTCACCCTTGAAAGTCTCCAGGGACAGGTCAACAATCACATCACCGGGCAACCTGTTCCAGTGCCTCGCCATCCTCAGTGTAAGAATTTTTTTCCTTATATCTAACCTAAATGTACCCTCTTTGAACTTGAGGCCCATTGTTCAGTATTTCAGAGAATCTGGCAGAGAGCTTAACTGACTCACAGAAAAATTACATTTTCAAGAGCCACTAGAATACACTACTTTCATTTCCTTTGCCCCTTATCATTCAGACTGTGCAAGCCATGAACAAGTCTTAGTCCTTCAAAAGTACAGGCATTTTTTATTAGTTAGTTAGCAGCCAGGACATAAGTCCAGTAGGGAAATAATTCAAGAGCTATGCCTTACTTACCTCTGCAGTCATTTTGGCAAATTTGTCAGGAGGTATGTTCCCACATAACACGTTTTTTCTTAGGTTCGGATTCTTTGCATCCTTGAGATTTGCTATCCTACTTCGTACCCTATTTTTGTATTTCATATCAGTGTTTTTTAATTCTTGAAAAATAGGTGCTTTGGATTTAAGGAACAAAACAAGTAAAACAGAGCACTCTGAATTGTTTTTTTGGATGGGAGCAACTGTTTTAAAGAAAGGTCCTTCCCCACACTCCCATCTCCAAACAGCAGTTACTCTCTGCTCAACACAGCAGACAGTACTTTCACATCTTGCCAAAGCCTAATCACTGTTTAGCACATAGCTGGCAAAACATGAATTTGGGGATAATAGGATCTTAACAAAAATTCACAAAAATCACCCAAGGACATAAGCCCAGTTCCTTGTTCTCATTTAATTTCTAATATAATTTCTGTATTAGAAGTAAAAATAGAAATCACATACACATATCCCTCTGTTTAGTTTGTGGTACTTTTCTAAATACTGAATTTCAGTACTGATGTCTTGAACACAGTTTGCTTGTTTTTTGTTTTAAATGAAATAAAATACTCAATGTACAGATTAAGTGAACTATTTTTTTAAACAGCATCAGTGTTCTTAAATACTCTCATCCAAGAGCACAGAGGTGCCCAGCAAAGGATATCTTCTTCGATCTGAGAACCCAACTCTTCCTCATCAGCACCAATAGCAATGTAATCATCTGAGGAAAACAAAAATTAAAATATTAGCACTGTTATGATCTCAGCAGTGTTTTATATCACTGAGATCCAAGCTGGAACATGAAAAAAAAAAAAAACCAAATCACAAACAACCAAAATGAATTTCATTTGTTAAGGATTGGTTGACTTACAAAGATTTGTTAACAGTACTATGAAGAAAAATCAGTGAAATGAAGAGCAACAGGAATTGTAAAAAGAAAAAAGTAGAATCACCTTAAATCTTTCAGACAAAATTATCTCCAGCTGAAACACAGACAGTAATAAAAAACATTGTCTTCTATTATGCTTGGCAATTACCCATCTCTAAACACAGTGCATCTGTGTTTAGAATAGGCTATTATAATGAGAAAACATTCTTTATCAAGTTTTATCAATTCTTTCAGCCCACACAACACCAGCTATGTTTTGTATGCACGCAAGAGAAAGATTTCTCTAGAAATACAGTAATTAAATACTATTGTTAAAAACATGCCAAGTAGGGAATGGTCATAAAATGTGCAAATGAGAAGAAACGAACCATAGCAATATTGAACACAACACGACCTAAAACATCTCCAGATAATTGTTTAGTGTTTCTAACCCAAACCCTTCTTCATAAAGACAGCTGCCTTTCCAACACAGGCTGGGACAAATTAGACACAATATGTGTTTTCCTCCTCCTCATTCTAACATGGGTGCACTTTGATGAGTAATAAAAATGCAGTTTCTTCTTCATCTCATGCAGAAGGCCACAGAACCAGAAAACAACCACATATTTTGAGACTGGCATTAGACCTATGGATGATCAGCTTACACATCAAACAGGAAATAACATTACAATAGGAGGTAACATTACAAAAAGATTTCTTGGAAACCTAGTGAAAGTTTCAACTACACGTAATTACAGAAACTAAGAAGCCATATGCATCTTTCTAAAAACCTGTTTGTCCTCTGAACTACATATCTGGAGGATCAAAAGTCTACGGCCTTTAGTCAGCTCTGATTTCTGCCTGTGTTAGAATTCATGTGAATTAAAAGTGAAGTACAAAAGAGAGTGCAATAGAGTAAAAACAGAATTTTGGAAGTCTGCTTACAATGAGTCAGGTTACACTAAGCTAAGAACAGAGAAGAGTTCTTGCAGATGAGAACAATGCATGAGAAAGAATTCAGGTCACTGAGTACAACAGTTGATTTGCTCACTATCTAGCATATCATTCATCAGTTTAAAGACACAAAATGTACAGGATGGGGAAAAGCAAAACAACAACAAAAAAAAGTCAAGTAATTCAAAGATGTCTCAAAGGCAGGAAGATGAAACAATGTAAGACTAACTGTGACTATATCCGTGAAACTTCAAGGTTAAATCAAAACAGAAAGGCATTCTTCAAAATCTAGAATCTGAAGGCTCACAGGACCTCTAGAGTAAGAAAGGCAGTCATGCTTATGGTGACATTCTCACTCAGAGATAAGATGAAAAATAGCAGTTTCCAATAATAGAGTCAAATGAGGAATTACAGAGGTAATAACTTCCTGTAATGAAGGTTCTCTGTAGGCAAGATATCAGATGAACAGAAGCCACAAAATGTCCCATATCACCAGCAACAAAAAAGTAGTTCAGGACACTCCCATCTTGCCAAGATTACTCAGTTTATTGCATCTTGAGTGAACTGGCCTATGGGTATGCACACACAATTGCACATAAGAAAGGGTACAGTAAACAGGGACAGGAAAAGAACAGAAGGAAGAAACAGTTAAACTTTAAAATATTGTCTATGGAGCTCACCTCCTGTTCTGAGAGCTGCAGAGAGCATTTCTCTACATTTCACTCGTACAGAATCCGAAGTGCTTGGAGCCCGAGGAAAAGAAGGGATGAAAGAATTTGAGGGAGCGCTACCCTCCTCCTTCCTGCTGCTGGAATTGCTACTTGAACTGCTAAAAAAAAAAGTAAAAACAAAAAAAAAACAAGCTAATAATTAATGTTTTTTGCTTTCTTCAAATCACTTTGTTTGAGGGGAAGCCACAGATCTTTTGCTACAACCATTTAATTATATTAATAGAAAAGAAGAACACAAGACACCGTCCAAAGGCAATACAAAACACCATTCTAGAGTCAAAATAATTTTAAGAGCGTCTTCAGAATATCTACCAGGGTATTCCACACAACAGAGATGACAGCAAGTATTTAATCCCATTAAGTAAGTTTTAACTTAGTTCTCTACATTAACATGAAACCATTTTTTCCTTCAAGGAACTTTACTTTAAAAAATAGTAAAGAAATATCATGCTAACATTCAGTCTGCTTACTGTACTGAAGAGGTACTATGGTTTAAGAAAGCTTTCGCAAAGTCTGAAAGTGTTCTTCTCACATTGGGACAAATAATTAGAGGTTATATTCTAATTTGAAAACAAATTTGCTACAAGCAGGAATCCGTAGAGAAACCAGACTTGTTGATACTATGCAAATATTCTTCAGCACCTCAAGTGTCATTTACATGGGCTCATCTTTCTGACAACACATATTTTGTCTTTACCAAAAAAGGTGCAGAACGAGACTGTTTATCAAACATAAAAGCTAACAGACAAAAGAAGTATTCTAAACCTCTAACGTATGTAATTACCACAAAGTTGTAACTGAAAGCTACACTTCTCAAAGCTCAGTACTAGTATTGAGAGAGGAAGGAGTCTCTGACAGATAAGACAGAATGAACAATAACTAGACTGTCCATATCTTGTCCTGTGGCTTTCATCTCTTCTTAGTGTGTGAGCAGCAGTCGGATCTTCTTCCTTAGCAACATACCATTTTTTGTACAACTGTACATACTTCACAAAATAACATGGAAGATGTCTCTAATATTTAAAATTTTGGCCCAAGTGTATGAATAAATTGGTTGATTTTTCAGGTTAGTCCTAATTTATACTGAACAAGGATATTTGTCCTCAATCATTAAGTACCTTTCTTCTCTTGCTTCAGGGCTGTTTTGTGAGGAAGATGCAGGCTCCTTTCTCTTTTCTTCAGAATCTTTATCAGTTGAAGGCCCATCTGGGAATACAAAACATGAGAAACTTTTATTCAGTAATCGATTTAAAGCAGTGGTACAATATCTCTGATAATTTCTTCTGAGCCAGTTAGACGTGCTATCAGCTCCTACTCTGATCTGTCTCTCTCTTGCAGTACAGCTTTCCACCTCTCACACCCTTGCCAACCCAGCAAATGAAATCTATGTCAACACTTCAAATCCTTCAGATCAAGACCAGCATCTGCTTTAACTGGCAGTGAAAAACAAAAAAGGATTCTGAAAGAGCTTGAAATTAAATCAGCTGCCTGCTTTGGTTTGCTTTCTACACTACCAATAGAGAGCACCCAGTGACACTGCCATCACTCACCTAATTTTTATGAATTTCTCCTTCGAAGCCCTCATAGATCTGCCATTACACATCTAACTCTGTACACTGTTATTACTTGGATGAACTTACTACAAATTTTAAAAGAGAACCAAATTCAAAGAAAAATAGAGAAAAGGCTCAGTCACAAAGGTATCTAAACCTTCGCTTAAGCATCAAAAAGGAATGTCATTTCCTGAAGGATCCTATCCCCATGTTTCTCATGGGAACTTGCAGTATGAAACACACAGATTCAGGTCTCTTCTTACTCAAGCACTTAAAGCACACATCAAGAATTCCATCTCCAGACGTAACCAAACATCGATGCCTAAAAAACAGTCTGAGATCCAGGCAAGTTCACAGAATTCTCCAGAATGTTCTCTACAGGATAGTGCATATCTGTACTCCCCCTATATATTACTATTATATATATGATTATGTATTTTTAGTGATTGCCTTTAATAAACTAGAAGTGTTATTAAAAAAATCCTAATAAAAATACTGGGTCAAAGAATTTATTTAAAAAAAAAATAACTAAAAAAGCAAACAAAGTATAAGCAGAATGGACTGCAGAAGATTTTTGCTATGACACCCAAAGACACTGTACTCAGAGAAAGGAAACAAAACCATAATCCATTTTTAACACGCACATTCACAACCAGTCTCTATGGCTACAAACACACGATAAACACTTTTTAAAATATTCTATTTATGCATGTTATCTCATCTACTCACATCTTAAGCACATGACAGTTTTTGCCAGAGGTTTTTAGACAGATATATCAGTATGTATCTTAGGGTAAGCACTTGTGAACACTTACTGATACCCTGATTGCGTCTTTCACTTATGTAGGGCAGAGTATACACGAGTGTAAAGTAGGAGGTAAAATCATGGCTCTTTCTAACCTGCAGAGCAGTCTATGCAAGCATGTCTCAAACAAAAGGTTAACTTCAGCAGCTGAAACAACTGAACCATCTTCAGCAAATATGCGTTCAAAACTACACTATCTTTAATCTCTCAGAGAAGAGTTTATATATATTTCTCTTAAATCCAGCTTCATAAATCTGAAAATAAAAACATTCTCTGCTTAGTAGAAATATTCTTACTAAGTCACTCACTTTTATGCATCACACATTGAAAGTATTCAGCAAATCCAGTGCCAAGCAGTAATTACTCTTAAACTCACACATGAAAGGATTACTTATTTTATTAATTACATACAGTTCTTCTGTCAACACAACATTTAACAGGGGAAAAAAGTATTTATCCTTGAGAAATGAAAGTCTCTTCCAATTAGCTTTTTACATCCAGCGGCCAGACTCTGGAGTAAAGGAAGAATGACAGCTAAAGGAAACTACAAACCACCATAGAAATCTAACAAAGAAAGATGGAAAAGCAGCTTGTGACAGATACTTAAAAATTCAAATGAGCAAGTGATTCACATCAGGAGACACATAGAAATAGATAAATATTTAGAATTAAAATTTTAATTATCTAAATTCCTCTGAAGAGGCATGATTTATTTATTTTTTTTAATTGTACAGCTATTATAACTTCCAAAGCCCTTTCTTTTCAGGAACAAACTGAAATTATCATCAATTTTAGAAATGAAAAATGTAATTTCAGTTTTAGCCACTACTGCTTCAGAAGCCCATTAACAACAAACTAACACACACACTTGAGGCTTTTTCTTCCTTTTAAATAACAGAAGTTAATTTAAAATAATATCCAGCTAACGGAAGGTTTGCAAACACAACTCCAGTCTACAAGAAGGGCAGGAAGGAGGATCCAGAGAATTACAGGCTTGTATGTCTGACCTCAGTACCAGGGAATGCCATGGAGCAGACCATCTTGAATGCCATCATACAGCACATACAGGACAACCAAGTGATCAGGCGCAGTCAGCACAGATGTATGAAAAACAAGTTCTGCCTGACAAACCTGATCTCCCATGACAAGATGACATGCATAAAAGATGAGAGAATGTGTGTCAATATGGTTTACTTTGACTTTAGTGAAGTATTTGACAGTTTCCCATATCTACTGGAGAAAATGGCTGCTCATGGCTTGGACAGTTGTACAATACATTGGGTGAAGAACTGGCTAGATGGCCAGGTTCAAAGAGTCACAGTGAATGGAGCTCAGTCCAGTTGGTGACTGGTCATCAGTGGTGCTCCCCACAAGCGAGCATTGGGTCAGTTTTGTTTAACATTTTTATTACCAACCTGGATGAGGGGATGGAGTGCACACTCAGTAAGGTGACAGACGAAAAGTTAGGCAAGACTGTCAATTTACTTGAGGGTAGGAAGGCTGTGCAGAAGGACTAGTTGCATCCAATTATCTAACATTCAACAAGACCCGATGCTGAGTCCTGTACCTGGGTCACAGCAACTTCACACAGCAGTAGAGGCCAGGGGAAGAGGGGCTGGAAAGTTGCCCAGTCAGAAAAGATCTGAGGTTGCTGATCAACAGCTGGCTGAATGTGAACCAGTCACGTGCTGAGGTAGCCTAGAAGGCCAATAGATCCTTGCTTGCATGAGATAAAGTGTGACCTAAACCAAGATAGCGATTGTCTCCTTGCACACCACACTGTTTAGACTGAACCTTGAGTACTGCAGTCAGTTGAGAGCTCCTCACTACATGAAGGAGGCTGTGCTGCTCAAGCAGGGGCAAAGAGACGCAGTGCTAGTGAAGGACTAGAAAACAAAGTTTAATGAGGAGTGACTGAGGGAACTGAGTTTCCTTAGTTTAGAGATGAGATGGCTGATAGGATACCTCTCTGCTCTCTAAAAATCCTTGAAAGGGAGTTACAGAGAGGAGGATGTTGCTCTCTTTCTCACATGCTAGTAATTGGACTTGAGAAAACAGTCTCAAGTTCTGCTATGGGATGTTTAGATTGTATATCAGGAAGAATTTCTTCAAACAGAGAGGAGCCAACTGTTGAAACAGGCTGACCAAGGCAGAGGCAGAGTCCCCAAACCCTGAAGGTATTTAAGAGACATGTGGGCAGGGCACCAAGGGACGTGATTTAGCAATGAGACTCAGCAAGTCAAGCTGATGTCTGGACTTGATGATCTTGATCATCTTTTCCAAACCAGATGATTCTACAGCTCACACGTGATATGTAAAAGAAGAGATACTCTAAAACTACTTTTGCACTCGCTATCTTATAAATAGACATGTTATACTTAACAGTAAACACTATTCCTGAACACAGACTGTAAGATAGTCTTAAGCTGTACCAGACTTGCTCCAGCAGAATCAAAACTAAGTTTGAAATAACACAGGATCATATATACAAATTCAACTGAATAACACACTTCTGCATAGTCTGGCTAGCATTAACTTGGTAACATTAAGCAAGCCCGAGCAATTTTGTTTCAAGACAGATTTTTTTTTTAATTGACATCTCAAAACGCACTTGGACGTTTTTATTGTGGTAGGTTTTGTTTGCTTTGTATTGCCAGGAAAAAAAAAAAAACAGGATCAGACTTACACTTAATGATAAGATTATTGTCCAATAATTCCGCATTTCCAGCCCAGAACATAAGTTGACTGAGGTTAAACCTACTTAAAGGTCTAGATGTTCTTTTTCACTGCATACTCTTAGATTTTAGTAAGAAATTATTAATGATATAATGATATATATATTTGAAGAACTCCTTATAACCAAAGTTGATATCCATTGATTCATCCGTATAACATAATCTACATACTCAAGTATTTGGCAAAATAACAACTCCTTGCAAATTCCATGTTATGACACAATGTTATTTTATTCTGAGAACAGAATTTGCTTCTTCATCTAAATTGTGACCAACTAGGATGTGTGGTTTAACGTTTTCATAGCAACATCTGAAAGCAATCTTTCACTATAGCTCACGCAGTGACTCACTCAGATATTGCCTAAGAGCCCTCTGCTGGGCAGCTCTGACCTCACTTGAGAATCCATTTGTAACCCAGCATAATTTTAAGCAAGCCACAAAAATCTGTTAAAACTCTGGTGATTCACAACCTTATTTTGATTTCTAGTTTCCCATGCATCCTTAAAACATAATTCCAAAAGCATTCAACTTAGTACATGCAGCCTGAACAAAGATTCTTTCCTAAATTCAAAATATCATTTATAAAAATAACTCACAAAGATTTCAGATCTGAGTACAATGCTTGGTATGATTAACAGCTGTCCGCTTCTGTTGCCATCTTTGATCCATACCATTTTATATGCACTATAAACAGCATAATCGAAACTGATTTCCCAAGCAGCTCAACATAGGATATTTCGTATTCTTCTGAGAAAGTCAAAACTAATGATAAAACAGAATAAGAGTACTTCATAAGATTCCCACCCAATAAGTCACGCAGCCCAGATAAGTCTTGTAATTCTGGAAGTTCTAATTACCAAGCAATGAAACAAGAGGTGAAACATTTGACCTACTGTGCTTTATTATATGCGCTACATTGCCATCAACAAGAATCTAATTATGTCAGATTTTAATACAAGAAGTGCTGTACTTTCAAAAATAATTTGATTTTATTCTGCACTTGCATAACCAGAAGTGTAACAGACTTTGCACAATCATGTACATGCAGCAGTATCTGACCCGTAACAACAATTAGAGTAAAATAAAGGTAACATACTTTCTGTCCCAGGAAGAAAATATACAGTTCTGACTGTAGTCAAATATTTGCTATTTACTTTCCAGTTCGTCACACATTTGAGATCACCTGATATAAGCAGCCTGAAGGTAGATTCTCACAATTGTCTTAAAATAATCTGAACGTAGCAAGCCATTTAAAGGAGCACCTCTTAAAGTTCCACCTTTCCCCAGCTGTGTGCTACTGCTACAATCCCTTTGCAAGAACTGCAAAAGAGCTGGATCAAGAAACCAACAGTTGAAAAGAATTCAGAAGAAATAAACAAAATGATTAGTTTACAACTCCTGAGTTCCCTTTTTTGACCTCTTCAGTACAGGAATGAGCAAGAAGGCCCCTCTGCAGAAGGAAAACCTCTTTCAGCTGCAACCTACACTTGGATGAACCTACCATTACCATCAGACACCACAGACTTATTCCAGTCTTCCACAGCAAGAACACACACAGAGGTTAAGGAAGTGTTTCACAATGTTTGAACAGTTAAATGTCAGTCGGCCACAGGTAACGATATATTAACACAAATTTGCCTGACTTCAGACATTAAAGAAAAATCAAGCAGAAGACTATTTCTATCTTAAACAAATAGCAATCCCTTTGTTCAATGGGTAGTGACACCAAAAAGAGTTACTATTACTCGCCTAATTAGAATTATCTAATGTTTAAAAGCGTTAAAAATATCTCTGGTACAGAAGCTGTTGCTTACAAGGATGTACAAATTATTGAAAAGCAGATTATAAAAACTGTCACGATTTCTCCTTTTTTACATATCAAGGCACTGTCTAATTGAAACAAAGACATTTCTATGCCATTTACAAAAGGAATAATAAGTATTTGCTAATACTTCATGACTGATAACACAGCTAACTGGGATAAAATGAGGCTAACAAAATGGATAAATTGAGGTTGACTGAGGCTGGCAATGAAATGGCAGACATGTATTTAGCACATTTACCTAGACAGAATATCAAATATTTAAATCAGTAGAAAATTATACAAACTGTTTCCTATTTCAAAATCTTAAGCCTCCTGAAGCTTAATTTACCTAAATCAGGATACAAAGAAACACAATTGAGTACAATACTATGTTGTATTAGATACAACTATCTAAAAGACAGCTTGAGATTTAAATCATTTTAAACACAATAAGTGCTACAAGATACCCTCGCACAAAACCCTGTTAACAGAAAGCTTTCAGTAACTGCATTCAATGGAAATGAAAGAAAAACTACTGGTTCACTAATTAGTAAATTTTCTAAAACTATTAAGGTTTTAGAAAGAACAGGTTTAATTAGAGAAACGTTCACTATCTCTAACAGAATTTAAATTATTTTTTTTATTCTTTCTTGTAAAGAGAAGAAACTTTTGTTTATATTTATAACCAAGCTTCAAAGGCTATACACTTTCACATGAAGTTCTGCATGAATTCCTCAGAGTACTTTTTACATTTGACAGAGGAAATAGTCAAGAAAAAGCTTTTTAGCTTTTAGTACTGCAGTACAGTACTGCTCGTTCAACAGCACGCAGTGAGGCTTGAGAAATGAGTCATGTTGCAGAAGCTGGTTTCCTACTGTTTGTCAGCACTAGTCAACGCATATTAACTTTGCTTCTGACTACGTTTTCACAGTAATCATCTGTGATAGTCAGAGGTTAAAAAAAAAACCAGAAACCTACCTCAGCACAGATAGTTTCAATACTTAAGCAAGAACGCAACTGTTTCTGAAGAATGGAAGTGTAAGGATCTTTATCTACATGTAGTTGTAATATAGAAAATTAGTTTAAAAAAGTTGTTGTCATACCTAACAGTTTCTTCCAAGATTTGATCAAAGATTTTGCTAAAGAAGTAACTTCTTCATCTGTGCTTTGCTTGCGTATTGCATTCACTGACATTCCAATTCTGGTAGTCTGCAACAGAAATGAAAATACACAATATGAAAAGTGGCACAAAGATAATTGATTAAATTAACATTTCTAAAAGCATTAACATTGCTTTTTAGACAATTTTATTTTAAGGGAATGTATTTTTATTTATCTTTACGAGTATCAGTATGAAATGCTGCAAGCCTTTACAGAACTTACTTTAAAAACATACAGTACATTTTACTAAGAAATACAACACTACCATTTGTCTCCATCACAGAAGTTTGGAGTTAAGGGAAATTGGTCCAAGTATTTCTGTCCTTAAACTACTTCAAAGAAACTCTACAGACCACTGACCTAATCTGAGCGTGGCATCAGATTATCTAAGAACGTGAAAATGAAAATCTTCCACACATTTTAATGTTACAAAAAGAAATACTTTAGTAAAGGTTCTAACCACAAAATCTTATTTTCCTGTGACACAATGACTGCATTTATATTCGGTATGAGCAGAAACTTGCTAAACGTTTCAGTAATTTTGTATTTTTCAAATTCCCATTTACTGACTATGGAAGAAGCTGTACCTGTCATGTAGGGAGTGATCATGTTTTAGGTCTTGAGTCATTTTGGCAACATTGAGACTTATTGAAATTTTAAGCACAGAGGTTTCTGCATTTAGATAGAAACAATAAGAAAAGTTTATCCTTCTGAAAAGGCCAAGCTGGCAATGGTCTTTAAAGCTTTGGCTCTACTGCCACCTATAGAGTGAAGATGATATTTATGAGCTACTCAAGATTTTTTTTTCCTTTTAAGATTTATAACTTATATCCTCATGGACATAAATTTAGATAAACAGCAGTAAAAGTTTCATTTTACAGTATTTTCAACTAACATCTTAATATAAAAAAATAGAACACTTCCACACTTCTAGTTTTGGAAAAGAAGCATTTTGTACAAGTACTGTACTACAATATCATATTTTGATTGATGACTATATTTTTACATTGTTCTTAAGATGCCCAGCTTTGCTGCATTTATTAATTGCCAGACTCACTAAGTACAATTTATTCTATTTATTTTTGCAGTGGCTTGTCAGAAATATCTTCTCCTTTTCCTTTAAAGGAGAAGTTAAATCTCAGCGTTACACTAAAAAAGGAAATAATTTGTTCCTGAAAATTACCCCTTACAGCCCACACAGAACACTTCTCTAGGCACTCTGGATGTGCTAAATGACTGGAAACATACTGAAATCTTCAGTAGATATTTCAGCAAAGGAGGTACATCAAAATTCCAGGTCTGAACATAGTTCTGAACATATTTTAGACTGAAAAAAAAAACAGATGGCTACTCACTTGTAACTAAGGTTTCTCAGGATGGTCTTTGTGCACATACACACTAACAGAAAGCATCAAATAGGTGCAGAAGTTCTTCCCCGTTTCACCTTTCCCCTCATGGCTGAGCACTGAGGACAGGCCAAGGACTGCACTCATGGGCAGCTATTTGGCATTTCTTTACTGTTCCCTACACGCTCTTTCCATGATACGCTTTAGCAACTAGCTAAGTATCACATAAAGGCCTAAACAGGGCAGAACTGATCAATTGCTGGATATTATCCACAAAAATAATTAGAGGGCTGGAGCACTTGCCATATGAAGACAGGCTGACGGAGCCAGGCTTGTTCAACCTGGAGAAGAGAAGGCTGTGGGGTGACCTCATTGCAGCCATCCTGCATCTAAAGGGAGCTTATAAACAGGAGGGTAGTCAACTCTTTTAAAGACAGGTAACAGCAGGACAAGGGAAAATGGTTTTAAGCTGAAGGAGGGAAGACTTAGGTTGGATATCAGGAGAAGTTTCTTTACTATGAGAGTGGTGAGGTACTGGAACAGGCTGCCCAGAGAGGCTGTGGATGCCCTGTCCCTGGAGATGTTCAAGGCCAGATTGGATGGGACCCTCAGCAGCCTGGACTAGTATTAAGTGTGGAGGTTGGCGGCCCTGCCTGTGGCAGGGGGGTTGGAACTTCATGATCCTTGAGGTCCCTCTTCCAGTCCAAACCATTCTTTGATTATGTTTAGACTATAAAGATAATATGTTTTGAACTCCATAAAATTCTTATCATGTCTGAATGAGAAAAACGTACCTAACAAAAACAACTACCCTCCACTGATAACTGGGCACAACCATGGAATAGTCTTATTAAAGAAGGGAAGAGACACCAAACCTACAGGCATAGCCAAAGAAATAAAACTCAAAAACTCAAGTAAAACTCAGAATTAATTAGATTCATCATTTTTCCTCTGATCATATAAGTAGAACTGATGATGATAACTGCCTAAACTGTCAGATTTCTTAAGGTTATATGTAAAAACACTTCCTTTGTTTTTATACAGAGCAATTGATTTAGCATCACCTAAAAGATACAAGGGAATGATCCTCCAATTTATTTACCTGAAAACTAATGCAAGCAATCACAAAAGGTCATTATTATATTTACCAAATGACTGCTTTAACTACACATCAGCTATCAGCATTTGAAATTTCCTCAGTCTTCCAGCCTAAGGAACTGTTACTATGAGAATCATTTCAAGTCAAAGATTCTGGTATTTCTGTCTAGTCCAATTTAGCCCCTGAAACTTTGTATCAGTTTATAATACGCAGGTATCCAAAAACTCTCCTCTGTTTAAGTGAATCACTCTTCCCTACTTCATATTTCTGAGCACTTGTTTGCATTTATTGTAAACTATTTTTGAAGAGTAAAGAAACTCAGACTTGCATAAACATCTGTTTTCTCCACCAAAGCATTCAGGCTGTAGGCTTAACAGCTAGGCCAAGCAGTTGAGGAAGAACAGCAATCACTAAAGCAAGCAGAGATGTTACCAACTTCAAATTGCAATGAAGTAAAGAGGCAGAATTTGGAGAACTTGGCCCAAAGGACTGACAAATAAAGCTCTTGAGAACAACCACATCAAGGTTCCCAGGTCTCCACGGCTTGCCAGTGAACAGGCAAGTAATTAACAAGGACTGCATTTCACAGCTCAGTTTTGTGTAGGGGTATGCACATGCATGTGTGTAATTTCCAGTAAAGCCTGCTGGTTCAAATGAAGACATCTACCTCACTCACTGTCTAGCCGCACACCACCTACAATGAGGATCTGAAAACCAATGTATTTATTATTATACAGCTGCTAGTAAATTTCATGTGACATGAACTACTGGCTGTTCACACAGGTGAGCAAGTTTACGCTTAACTTGTGGGATGTGAAACATTATTGTATGCAACTGCTTCATCTTTGTGACAGAAGTGCAATAAGACAGACTCATGCCACAAGCACTGTCCTGAACTGCTGAAGTGTACTTTCTCATCCCATGTAAATTGTCAGAGGATGCACCCATGACTGTCACTTCAGTCTGAATTGTCACTTCTCTTACTGCAAAGGAATAATGAAACTATCAGTCAGAAGTGCTCTTCTCTGCGTAGGCAATTTTGAAATGGTTTTCCCTCATGTGCCGTGTTGGTTTGAATATATCAGTCAATATCTCAGTCTACACAGAGGAAGTTAGTGCTCCCATTCTCTCACTGTCATCCCCCTTGACATTAGCACACCAAGAGCCACCAACTAGTAGAGCCAAGAGTGTGATTACTCCACATTTGAATCATTGTTCCAAGTCCTCCATTGCTTAAGCAATTTTGGGAGACTACTAGAAAACATACAGCAGACTTTATATATTTATAGAACTCAGCAAAAATAACACATTTCATTCTAAATGAAAACTTACACAGCCAAAGAAGTGTTTTGAATATAGGAATGGATGCTGCATTAAAAAAAAAAACTTGACTAAGCTAGTTAGTCGACTAAGTAAGAGTAGACAAAAATAGTTGACCCCTTTGGACCTACTATAACAGAGAAATTTTCTTTAAAAACTCATAGCATCTGCCAATACAGATTAAAACCAATCCTTTATTAGAAACATTATTTTTCTTTTAAAATAGATCCATGTGATGTAGATGGGAATCAATAAGCTTATTTCAAATAGAACAGAAAACAGGATGGAATTAATATGCAACTCCATATAAACTGACACAAGTACCCTAAAACACAGACACCTGAGTTAAAGTTTATCAAGATTAAGAGTCATCTCTGTTTATAACATTACTAAGAGAAGTTTACTCAGCAACTGAATAAGAATCAATTACCTACTTTATTCATACCCTTAAGGTCTGGAAGGGAAAAAGAGTGCAGTGTCGTATGAGATACACTAATTCATGTAAAAAGGTGAAAGCTTAAAATTCCAATATTAAATGGCAATCACTAGTACTAATAATGTACTGAAACACATTCTACAAAAACATAAGCAAGACTGACACTACTTAAATCTTTCCAGATAATTCTGCATCTGCAAATTAAATGTCACTTAAAAAAAAAAGTTACTTTTCAGTCTTTTCCAATTTAAGTGTCTACCACAGCAAAAAAAAAACAACTGAACTTCTGCTAGCCTCTGCTATTTGCAAGTTTTCAGAAATGGGTAATCTCCAGTTAATTTGGGACAAAAGTTGATCACTGCAGAACTACATAACCAACTCTAAAACTTTACATGTAAATAAAGTTCACTGATACACACTTTTGAAAGTATTTATAAAAGTAATGTTAGAGATGTAAGAGATAAGCAAAATGAGAATGTAATGCGTGTAAGAGAGAGTCCCACACCATCACATCCTATGCAAAATTGGTATTGTAATCAACTGTAGAATTACACTACTGAAAGGTATACGTTTAAACAGGCAATGATGAAACACAACCTACCAGAAGTAGGAACTACAGTTCTCCTCAGTTACAGTCCAGAAACATAACTACACAAAAGGAGGACCTACGGTGCATAATCCTTCATCAAAGAGGGAAACATACCACACTTGTATTAATAAGAAATAAAGAGTGCATGTAAGGGAACTCTATAAACAGTGCTCTCCCTCCGCTCTCCCGTGACAACATTCAATATTTTCAAATCCAAGTTCAACCTGAAGAACTTGCTACTGGAAGAAAGCACTTCAGAGCCCTAAATCATAGTGAAATAATACTATTTAGCCAAAATAGCAATGATTCTTCAAGAGCTTTCTCCACAGGAATCTATTTAAATAATGCAACCTTCCAAATTTGCTGGCTTCACTTTCATTATTATGGAGTTAACTTTTGCAACATAAGAATAAAAGAAGTTGTACCTGTAATAACTCAAGGGTCATGGGAATATTCTTAAGCTCCTTTAATAAATCAAGAGCTCCAGCCTGCAAATCAAAAAAAAAAAAAAAAAGTCAAGTTAGTAGGAATCAAGAACTTCAAATATAGTACCAGCAGCATATTTTTAGTCTTAAAGGTCCCAGATTAGATCCAAACCATCAGCTTTCAATTTACCCACAGAAGAAAAACAGGAAAAGTAACATTCTGATTCATTAACTATAAAAATTAACAAGCCTGAACTCAGAATTCACAGAATTCACTGAGACTAGAGAAGTTTAAACCTGTATAATTCAAATGCCAGTCATTGTATTCTGTAAGTTGCTCCTTAACCACGAGACATCCTCTAGAAAATGTCCTCAGGCGTATATCACTTATCATAAACTAAACAGCAAACTACAGTGAAGAACCTCACATGCTTGAGAACAAGAACTTGGAATTGAGAAACTCTGCAGAGTCCATCACTAACACAGCTTGTTATGACCAATTTTCCTATCTGTAACAAATGCCCCAGTAACAAAGCTGAACAAGACTTGCTTAGAAGTCTATATTTTCAACTATAGAAATATTAATTCAGTGAACTATACGTATATTAGATCATGTAGATTAGCGCATACAGATAACAGTATTCATTCTACATCACACTGGCCAAGCATCAACTTCTTCCAAAATGGAAGCCAGAGACCATCCCAATGCACTACAACATCTGAACCAACACATTTGTTTATTATATGGCTGCCACGTGGCTCTCTTTATTCCTTTTGCATTGCTATGATAAGGAAGAAAGTCTTCTTTTAAGGAAGAAAGTCTTCTTCACTGCAAGAAAGACATTGAGGCCCTGGAAGGTGTTCAGAGGAGGGCAACAAAGCTGGTGAGGGGTCTGGAACACAGGCCATATGAGGAGAGACTGAAGGAGCTGGGAATGTTCAGCCTGGAGCCTCTCAGGGGAGACCTCATTGCTCTCTATAACTTCCTGAAGGGAGGCTGTAGTGAGCTGGAGGTCGGCCTCTTCTCTCGTGTCATTAGTGATAGGACCAGAGGGAACGGTTTCAAGCTACGGCAGGGGACATTCAAGCTGGACATTAGGAAGTATTACTTTTCAGAAAGGGTGGTCAGGCACTGGAATGGACTGCCCAGGGAGGTGGCGGAGTCACCGACCCTGGGGGTGCTCAAGGAAAGACTGGATGTGGTGTTGAGGGACATGGTTTAGTGGGAGCTATTGGTAATAGGTGAACAGTTGGACTGGACGATCTTTTAGGTCTTTTCCAACCTTGGTTGATTCTATGAAAGATACAAACAAATACCATATGAGCAGCCAATTTTCAAGACAGATGGGTCCATTTCAGAGACTGCACTTAATAGCTAATCTGCTACTAATTAATTACTATCTACACACACAGCTACTTTAACAAGTCATTCGCTTCCCATGCTGGCCTTACTTAAAAGTTTTCAAATATGTGAGCAATACGCTTCAGACTTTACTCATTCACTTCAGCAAAGCTCTGCAGCACCCACTTCTCACCACACACAGGGCTGCCCAGCAGAGGACAGCAGGCTCACAAAAGCTAAGACAAGCCTTCTATTATTCAAATGCATCTGGTTCTCAACCTGTGACTTTAGGAGAGCAAGGTAAAGGACTTCTCTCATAAGAGGCCACTGTACCTGAGCTAACTTCATCACATCCCTGCCTTTTTCTTTCTTTTTTTTTTTTTTTGTCTTTAATTTAAATTTGTTTGGAAACAAACCCCCAAATCCCCTTCTTTCAGTTCAGTTAAAATTCAATTCCCTTCTCTTTCTTTACCTCTCACTCAACGTATCCTATTTCACTTACCCTATTTGCTTTTCCATACTTAAAATATACATTTTGCATATCTTTATTCGCATTTGTCCTTGTTTTTAAGTTGTCCCCAATCAACTTCTCACACTTGTTGCAAGGAAACTCAAGTAATCTGCTGCTGCACCTGCACCGTCTTACAATTTAACCACTAAAGATAACACACAAAACAACCACTAAGAGGCTGAGAAAAACAAAAGTTTCAGGTTGTTTTTTTTTTTCAGCATCACATCCAAACAGACACAGATTGGGATGCTTTCAAGTTCTGCTACAACCTCTTACAAGTGACAAGCAGATAAAACCAAAAATGTAATTAATTCCTATCTTACACAAACCCAATTCACTCATGAAACCAAGGCTCTTCTATTTCACTGTTAAAGAAAAAAATCCTAACTTCTATCCATGAAATACAAGGCTTCTCCAAACTGAACTACCATGCTAATCCATATCCTTCTCTTACCACTCATACGCATGCTTTTTTTTTCCCTATACAAGCAATGATTAAAACCAAATAAGTTCATTAGCTTTAAGAATACAAAATAAAATCAAATTCAAGAAAATTTTCTTAGCCAAAAATAAGCACTGTATTACAAAAAAAATAAAAAAAAGAAATAATAAGATGTCCTTCTCCAAAAGACAATCCAGTAACACTTACCTCGTAAGTAATTAACTTATTAGCAAACTGTGCATGGTACATATCTCAAAATAAATTCAGATATTGCATTCTGGTACAGCACAGCAACGATACTGTAATGCAAAGTAGGAATTATAGCATACTTCTCATCTCATCTTAGTAATACATTCATTCAAAATTTCCCTCCCTCTAGTTTTTTGTTTTTGTTTCTTTTTCTAACTGCAGAACAATTTTATTATTTCCAATCTAAACACCTTCCAAAATAGCTTGACATACAGCAGGTGAACAAGCCATGCAACTAATAACAATGAAAAGGAAACAAAGCACTCTTTATACAGTAGTTATCTACACGTCACACCCTCAGATTCTCAAAACTTACAATGCATTGATGCTTTCTAATCCTTAACTTCCTCTAGTCAATTACATTAAGTGTACTAAATAATAGATGCTTTACAATTAAATCTGAATTAAAAACTGTACCATCAATAGGTGTACAACCAATAGGTATGTAGATGCTAGGCTTAGTAAAATTATAATAGTGAAAAGTTAACCCAAATAAATGGAAACGCTCATCAGCATCATAGGCTCACAGTAAACTCCACAAGGAACAATCTCCAGGAAGAAATCCTTCCTCGCTGGCAGTCAGCCCTTAAATGGGGTCTAGGAGAGGTGGAGCCAGGCTCCACCTCTTCCAGTAGGGCAGGTGAATTGCCTTCACCTGTGCTCCCATGGCTGATTCATTGCTCACTTCAGGTGGTCAATAAGAGGTGCAGGCTGTGGTCAACAGTTCCCATACAAAAACACATTACAAAGATTATTATAAATCTTTTTTTGTAAAGCATTTCTGTAATTTTATAAGAATTGAAAGATAGGATTCCACTGCAGGTGGCTTCCAGCTTACCTTACCTTTCATCTATGCATTTAGCAAATTATCCTTCTCAGACTCCCTTAGATGATCAGATCATAACAACAGAAACGTGCTCTACATGTATAGTTTAAAGTTAGGCTTCAGGCTACAGAAAATGTAATGTGTTTATGAATATGGCAGACCTATATGGTTATACATCTGATCTACTTCAGGAAACAAACATTTACTGACACAGACAACTTTACGTTTTCTTTTCTGATCTTACTCAATAGTTTTATCATCCATAGGTGCACTTCGTTTTTTATACTTATTCATCAAAGTAACTTAGTGGAAGAAGAGCGTACCTACACACAAATGAGAGCTACAGGAGGGTACAATATGCATTTTAACCAAATCCCAATAATTCTGAAGAAGTAGTGACATCTATCTCAAAAATGTAAACACCCGAAGTAACAGCAGAATATGTATCTCACTGTGTATTAAGGACAAAATTGCTTTGCTATTTTGTCCTTCAAAATAAAAGAACTGTGTGCACCGCTTCAGTAAAATAGTTATGAAATGTGCCCAGACACAATTAAACCCTTCATCAAAGCAAGTCACCAAGAGCCTGACTCAGGATGGGTGTCTGCTCTGACTGCCTTTTCATCCCATCAAAAGAAATGCCGCACAGCTCTCGGTCACAAGCACAGAGCCTCCCTGTGTAGGAGATTGTTTCCTGCCATCGGGCTCTTGACAACTTCAGAGAGAAACGGCATCAAAGCCTTTTTTATTGATGGGCTTCATCAAATCATTCTCAAAGACACACACTAAATGTGTACTGAAACACAAAAAAAAAAGTTATTCAGTGTTTCAGACTAAAATGCATGTTGGCAACATAAAGAAATGGTTTAAGGTTTCCTGTTCATTTTAGAACCATAGGATCATTAAGGTTGGAAAAGACCTCTAAGATCATCTAGATCAACCATCAGCCTATCCCCACCATGCCCACTAACCATATCCCTCAGCACCACATCTCCACATTCCCTAAACACCTGCAGGAATGATGACTCCACCACTCCCCTGGGCAGCCTGATCCAATCCCTCACCACTCTTTTAGGAAATTTTTCTTAATATCCAATCTGAACCTACCCTGCAGAATCCCATTAAGGCCTGCCCCATGGACATGGTGCCACTCTCTGCAGCTGTGAGATAATTTGCTTACACACACCAGAGCATGAACGTGTCCCTGGCTGCTGTTAGGAGTTACAGCTCTAGGCCTCCCAAATCCCCAAGAAATAGATGATGGTCAGTCACCAGGAGCATCCATGGGATCAGTGCACTGGTGGCCATTCCCACGTTGTCTCAGAGCTGTAACTTGCCTTCTGTTGTCAGAAGGCTCCCAGATAACACAGAATTGACTGTATCTCACTATTCTCACTATCATGATATTCAAACATTCTGCAGTCAACATGTTTTTCTCAGAATCACAGAATGGTTTGAGTTCAAACAGACCTTAAAGCCCATCCAGTTCCATTTGCCTGCCGTGGACAGGGTTGCCACTACTAGCTCAGGCTGCCCAGGGCCCCATCCAACCTGGCCACCAGGGATGGGGCACCACAGCTTCTCTGGGCAGCCTGTACCAGTGCCTCACTACCTCCGAGTAAAGAGTTTGCCCCTAACATCTAATCTAAATCTACACTCCTTTAATGTAAAGTTGTTAACCCTTGTCCCTTCTCAACACAGACACAGTCCGGTCCCAGCTTTCCTGTATGTACTGGATATCTTCTGATACATCCTAAGAATCACTACTCCAACATCAGAGCTAGGAAAGCGAAACAATGAATCCTTTTGTGCTGAGGAGTTGAAAGGGGGAAGGGAAAAGGAAGAACTGAGTATTACTGTATCACGAAAAGCTTGCAAATGAGTTTTCGAAGAGCAAGAGGGATGTGAGTCCCCCCTTGAGATGTAGACTGCAGCCAGAACTTCAGCACCTGGGCACAGGTGCTGCAAGCTGCCGTCCCTTCTGCACCAACCTTACTTAAAGTATCTGGTCCAGTCAGTAGGAACCAAATCAATTTCATTTCTTTACTGCAACTGGTATCGCTACAAATATGCAAGCCTTATTAAGCACTGTTGATTTTTTTTTTCCTCTTTTGCAGGAAGAATAAATACTGCTGTGCCTACTGTAGAGCTCTGTAAACTGAAGCATCACACAGTTTTTCACTGTGGCTTGTATGCTACTTTGTGTATCACCGTATCAGGCACTTGGCCTGATAAAGGGAGAAGGGAGGTTTGGTGTTCAGCTCACGTGTGCCTCAGAACCCTGCCCACACAAACCTGGCCAGCAGGACCGGGGCTCCTCAGCCACCTTCACGGCTTTGAAGCCTCACCGTCGGCGCTCGGAAACGAAAACAATGTATCCGAACGAGAGACCCGCCCGCGCATTTCCCACCCAGCAGCCGGCCGCGTACCCGAGCCGCCCGCCGCCGGGCTCAGCGCGGACACCTCTGCGGGCCGGCACACCGAGCGCGCCTCGCCCGGCGGCGGGACGCGAGGAGTCGGGCCGGGAGAAGCGACCCCGACCCCGCCGCCAGGCTGAGGGCTCCCCGGGCCGCCCCCGAGCGCCCCGTGGCCGCGCGGAGCTTCCCGGACAGCGGCAGCCCCCGTGGGCCGAGCGGGGCCCGCTAAGAGAAGGCAGCGCGGAGCCGGCTGGCGGCCGCGCCTCGCCCCGCCCCGGCTCACCGCGTTCTTCTTCTGCACCATCTTGTCCATCTTCTTGGCGATGCGGATGATCTCGTCCTCCGTCGTCATGGCTGCCGGGGCCGGCGTGGCGGCGGCACCCCCAGCACTCGGACGCGACGGCGGAGCCGGGCGGGAGGGCGGGACGGCGGCAAGGCCGGGACGGAGGCGGGCCGCGGCGCAGCGCCCCGACCCAGCAGCCCCAGCGGCGGCGCCAGGCAGCGCCCGCCGAGCGCCGGCCGCGGGAGCCACAGGCAGCGCTGCGGCGCGCCGACAGCGGGCGGGGCGGGGCGGGCCTCGGGCAGGGGGCGGGCCGCGGGAACGGCGCTCGTACCCGCCTGGGCTTGTGAGCGAGAGGGGAATAGCGCTGAGGGCACGGCGGTGGCTGCCAGGCAGAGCGAAGTGCAATTGAATGGGCTGCTCGCTGCGTTATCCTCTCCAGTTCGCGGTGCTCGGCGGCCCTGAGAGAAACGCGCCTTCCGCACAGCGTTGCAGCCCAGCCTCTCGGCCTGCCGCCAGGAATCATTCAGTCATTTTATATTTTCGACCGCCAATTGCAGCACTGCGCTTTAAGCTGGGGGAAAATCCCTTCTTCCCCGGAGCCAGAAAGGTCTTTCAGAAAGTCTGCCAACGACGGGTGTGGCATGGAGGATTTCAGATGGCAATTTTAGATGAGGTTCAGGACTCAGCTCCAGCACAAAAGCAACGGAGACACAGCAGAAACCTTGACCTGAGCCCCACGCTATGCTGCAGGGTGCTAAATGCCTCCTGGTCTCCACACTAGTCCAAGCCCTTGTCCATGCTCAATTGGGATATAAATTGATGAAATTTGATGTAAATCTATGATACGCACCATCAGTTAACTTGTCCATTAATTTATTACCCTTAATTTTGTTGCTGAGAGAATAGCAAGCAAGCAAGCAAACAACAACAACAAAAAAAAACCAGCATCATTTAACTGCTTTCGCTACATAGATATATCTGCAGGTTGCATAAAGAAGACATACAGATTACCCCCTGCTGAGATTCAGGAGGGTGTTCATGTATGCCTCTAGGCTCTATTATTAGTAAGCTTGTAACGCTGCAGATGCCTGTGATGTAAGCCAAGGGCTGGAAAACATGAGCACTTTGGAGAAGAGGTAAGATGGGCACTGTCCTTGAAACAAGACTCAGGAAACAATGAGAACAAGGAGCACTGCCATTGCAGCTACACGCTGTGTGCTTTGCAGCAAGACTGCTTTCAATTATGAAACTACATACAGACAGGTGCTTTTAAGGCACTTCTGCACAGCACTCAGTGCACATGACGGTTGCAGCATCTGCCACTGAAAGGCCTAGGCATACATAGATATTATAGAAGTGAAAAAATGTATGCTGTATGGCATCTTCCCAGAGGGTAGATCTAGCCCATGAACAGGACTAGAAACCTTGTCATTTTTCCTTTGTTATGCACCCAAACAAGAAAACTAAGACACGTTCCTTTAGCAAAAGAAGGGAAAAAAAACCAACCTTTTTCTTTCATTGACAGATTTCAAAAACAAAACAGCAATCTTTACAATTTAACCTGAATTCATCATTACTAGTATAAGGTTATTGCCTCTAGACAAAATTGTGTGTAAATTTCATGTTAACCTGAAATGAAATTTATCACTGTTTTTCTCACTACCAGATCAATGATAAAAGCAGTGCAGTGTATGCTATCAGCTGAAAGTTTTTGCTACACTGCACATCAAGTAAGTTCATCTGTGTTCTACAGTAGGTGCAAATTAGGTCAGGGATAACACTCAGATCTAGTCAGTATCATCAGATCTAGTCTAGATCTGTCAGTGTGCTTACTTTGAACATTTTAAGTTCTGAAATGAAGTCATCAAATATATTTTAGAAGAATACCTTATTCTAGGGAAATACATGGAAAAAGTTCAAAAACGCAGATGAAATCTTCTTAACACTCAAACTGTGTTAGGAAGAAAATGATGATTATAAATGCAATGCTACATAGCACTTATAAGAGGCAGTAGCAGGACCGTAAGGAAAAAA